GAGCCCAGGAGTTGGAGGTTGCTGTGAGCGTGATGCCATGGCACTCTACCCAGGGGGATAGCTTGAGGCTCCGTCTCAAAAAAAAAAAATTTCAAATGTTCTTACCACAAAATGTTAAGTATTTGAGGTGATGGATAAATTGACTAGTTTGATTTAATTATTCCACATTGTATTCATAGATTATAACATCACTGTGTACTCCATAAGTTTACACAAGTATAAATTGTTGGTTTACAATAAAAATAAAATTGTTGCGTCTTTTTGTAAAAAAAAAAAAAAATGCATTACAGGCTGGGCGCAGTGGCTCACACCTGTAATCTCAGCACTCTGGGAGGCTGAGGTGGGCAGATCGCCTAAATCAGCGGTTCTCAATCTGTGGGTCATGACCCCTTTAGGGGTTGAACGACCCTTTCACAGGGGTCACCTAAATACATCCTGCATATCAGATATTTACATTACAATTCATAACAGTAGCAAAATTACAGTTATGAAGTAGCAATGAAGATAATTTTATGGGTGGGGGTCACCACAACATGAGGAACTATATTAAAGGGTCTGTATTAACTGTATTAGGAAGATTGAGAACCACTGGCCTAAGCTCACAGGTTCGAGACCAGCCTAAGCAAGAGCAAGACTCTGTCTCTAAAAAATAGCCCAGTGTTGTGGCAGGTGCCTGTAGTCCCAGCTACTAGGGAGGCTGAGGCAAGAAAATCACTTGAGCCCAAGAGTCTGAGGTTGCTATGAGCTGTGACGTCATGGCACTCTACCATGGTTGACAAAATAAGACTCCATTTCTAAATAAAATAAAATAAAATGCATTACAGACAAAGCCTGGCAAGCAACAGTGAATAGCAGTTTGTCTGGCACTGATTTCCTAGCCTTCTCTGGGAAGGGATTCTCCTCTTAGCAGGAACGATAGCTAGCTCCTTTCACTGACTGACCACTAGGACAGACAGGCCTCTGGCTGGAAGGGCTGCCACTGGTGCTCTCCTCACAGGAGCGTACGGGACACAGAGCTGAACCTCACCAAGGTCCTGCAGTAATCCAAAGGTGGTGCTGACAGGGATAGGGTAGGAGGCGAGGAAAGCCCATTGCTACCCTTCACTGAGCAGGGGGCCAGGGAGTGTTAAGGAGGAGGGACCTTTCTGCTCTTCTGAATGACTTGAAGCAGGACAGTGAAGATGATGCCATAGCCTTTTAGAGAACCCCTGACAAGAGCAGAGGAAACATACATAGGCAGAGAGCTGTGGGCCTGAGACCTGGCTCTCTCTGAGCTCTAGAACTGGACAGGGTGACCCTGGTGCTCTCTCCAAAAATACACCCCTCTATCAGGGAACAGGAGGGGACTCCAAGACCCACCTGCAGGACTTCCTGCCGGAGCCCAGTGGGCTCTACACAGCTAACCAGGCGCAACAGCAGGTCCATGAGAGCTGATGTGCCAATGTGCTTCAACACCAGGCTGATGAACTTGTCCTTCTTCTTTAAGAATGTAATCACCTGCAAGCAAGCACACCAGGTAAGGGAGCAGGGTAGACCTGGCAACCTGAGGTACTCCCTTTGAGAACTCTCATGAGAAATGGGAATTTAATTATAGTGAGCAGAAATGACACAAAGGCCTAGAAAAAGATATGGGAAAAGCCTCTGCAAAGACAGGCAGAGTCTTGCCAGGCAATGGTGCACTTGAGGGTCTGGGCTGTGGGATGTCTTTGTCATGGCTGAGGCTCTATGCTATGTGGGTGGCACAAGCTGCGCTGCATAGTCTTCATTCAATATGTACAGATTCAGGCTTGGCGCCTGTGGTTCAAGTGGCTAAGGCACCAGCCACATATACCTAAGGTGGTGGGTTCAAATCCAGCCCAGGCCCGCCAAACAACGATGGCTGCAACC